GGAGATGACCTGGACTATTACAGCTTTCGCCGCAAGCAGGGTCAGGCCCGGGACGAGGCGAGCATGCCTGGGCAGCTGGGAAGATGGAACACGTCCCGCCAGACCAGCGCCAGCCCGGCAGCTGTCCCCAAGGACCTCCGTGGCGAGGAGGATGTGGGCCCTGTGCCGGAGCAGGTCCATGGGCGGATGCTCAGTTGGTTACCCCAGGATCCCGGCGAAGGCGAGGAGGATAAACCGGGGCTGCTGGCATCTTCGAAGCGTGCTGGGGCTCTGAGCCTCCAACCCCACCTCTCTGTTCCCATCTTTGGTGGGAAAGCCAAAACGCCGGGTCCCAGCAAGACTGCAGCAACCAGGGAGGACAAAAAGCCCCAGAAAGCCCAGGAGAAGGTCTACGTGACCAGGCTGCAGCTGGGGAAGCGCAAAGCCCCAGCCCAGGAGCCGGTCTTCCCTGGCATCTTCCTTTACCCGAAAGCTCTGAAGAAAGTCCATCTTCGCTCCAGGACCCCTCAGAAGCATCCCGTCGCCTCCAGCAAGCTCCGTGCCGTCCCTGGCCGCCGGACCCCCTGGCTCCTGAGCAACATCTCCAAGGAGACGGACCCTGCCAGCCGGAAGAGCACGCGGGTGGCAGCCAGGAGGTGGGAACGTCCATCTAAGCTGGGGACCGAGCGGCGGATGCTGCCCAGCCTCCTTGCCCTGGGGACCGAAGGACTCTTCAGTAGGGAGACCCATGAGGACACGACCCCTGGCCCAGGCAGGACAGCGGCCACCACCGATTACAACTCCTCTGAGGTGACCCGCTCGGAGGGGACACGGGTGACATCCTTTCTGAAGATGTCAGAAACAACGGCGTCCCAGCAGGAGGAGGGAAAGGGCCAGGAGGAAGAGGAGGAGGAGGAAGAAGAGGTGTCAGACTACAGCTATGAGACCGGGGAGCTGCAGCAGAGCTGGCTGGAGGACTCCATCAACTGGCAGAGGACGTTCAGCGTCAGCTCGGTGGACTTCGAGCTCCTGCGCTCCGACTGGAACGACCTGCGCTGCAATGTGTCAGGCAACCTGCAGCTGAGCGAGAGTGAGGTCGTCGACGGGGTGGCTCAGTACATGGAGAAGCTCAACGAGAAGAATGGAGGGTAGGGAGGGAGCAGGGCACGGGTGGGAGGTTGGGGGGGGACGTGTCTTCGCCCCGCTTGGCTCCCTGGGGCCGGGTGAGCTGGATGGTGGGTTCAGGCCAACCCCTCGAGCAAGGGAGCTGCGGGGAGCAGAGCTCACGGCGATGGTGCTTTCAAGTGCTTCTCCTTTCCCCGTAGCATCTACACCCTCCTCAGGATTGTTAATGTGGAGAAGCGTCGGGACACGGCCCGGGGGAACCGCTACCTGCTGGAGCTGGAGCTGGCAGAACGGGGCCAGCGGACGGTGCGGCTCTCCGAGTACGTCTATGTCCTCTTGCACCAGGGCAAGCAGGACGACAGCGCTGAGGCCAACCCCGAAGGGCCAGCCCTGGGGGCCACCGAGCCCCAGCCGAGCACCTGGAGCATCCTCTACGGAAGACCCGTCCTGTGCCGGCCCCTGCGGCTCAGCTGGAAGCAGGACGTCATGGTGCACTTCGTGGTACCTGGTAGGTGACAGAAGGACTCGTCTCTCCAGGGTCTCTGCTGCTCCCTCTGCCTTCAACATCCTCCGGCGGGAGGAAGGCAACCTATTTGCTCCCTGGTTGCATCCTCCAGGATGGCCCAAAGGGGATGAGGTTCTCTCTTCTCATGAGATGCTGAGGTTATCACTTCTCATCAGAAGAAGGTTTGGTTTGGTTGGGGAAGGGGGTGCTCTTGGGATGCCCATGTTGAGCCTGAGGGATGTTTGTGGCTGTGTCCGGCAGTGAAGAACCAAGCCCGCTGGGTCCAGCAGTTCATCTCGGACATGGCCCGCCTGTACAGGGCTACGAAGGATGCCAACTTCAACGTCATCCTGGTGGACTTTGACAGCGATGACATGGATGTCGAGAAAGCCCTACGGGATGCCCGACTGCCCCGGTAAGCCACCCCACACGAGCTCTGGGTCCCACCCTGCTCCCCTCGAGGCTGCCGAGAGAGGTCTGTGGGGCTCCTCGTGGTGGGACAGGCCGTCCTGGTGGGGCTCACACAACCTGCTGCTCCTTCCCCAGCCCAGCACGGGTCTCTGCCTCACTGCCCCTCTCCTCCCGCTCTGTTTTGGGGGTTTAAACTTTTTTCCCATGTGGAGGAGACAGGGGTGCAGAAACCTCCTCTGCCTCTGTGGGGGGACCCTTGGCATGAGTTGCAGGCACCTGGCCCCCTTCCTGAGAAGGTCCCCTCTCCTTGCTGATGGACCCTGTCCACCTCTTGGCTGTGTCCCTTTCGGTCACCAGCACTAACCTGTCCTCTCTCCTCAGCTACCAGTACCTGCGGCGCACAGGGAACTTCGAGCGCTCGGCCGGGCTGCAGGCTGGCGTGGACACGGTCGAGGTGAGCTGGGGGAGAAGAACCAGCTCTCGCCTTGGCTTCTCTCCCGGAGCTGTTTTGCCCTGATCCTCCCACTTGTCTGTCCCCTCCTGTAGGATGGGCACAGCATCGTGTTCCTCTGCGACCTGCACATCCATTTCCCCCCCAATATCCTGGACAGCATCCGGAAGCACTGCGTGGAGGGGAAGCTGGCCTACGCGCCCATTGTCATGAGGCTGAGCTGCGGCAGCTCCCCGCGGGAGCCCAACTGTAAGCGGGGTCCCCTCTGCCGTGACGCCTTTCCAGCTGGAAAACATCCCCTGCCAGCCCGAGGAGAGCTGCGGCGCTGGGTTTGGGTTACAGCCGGGCTTGGATGCTCAGGGAGGGTGGGTTTATTTTGCTCTGGCAAGATGGGATTCAAGCCCAAGGGTGCTTGAGGTGCGCTGGGTGCGATGCCCCCCAAAACCAGCAGTCACCCGGTGCATCCCCATGGGAGGTGGTGGTGATGGGGACAGACCCGTGGTGGGAAGAGGGGTTGGGACAGGGCGCTCCCAGGTAGCGGGGAGAGCACAGAGGTGATTTGGGGGTCCCCCCACACCCCTCGCCTCATTGCTCTCCCCCCTCCAGGCTACTGGGAGGTGAATGGCTTCGGCCTCTTCGGCATCTACAAGTCGGACTTCGACCGCGTGGGAGGGATGAACACGGAGGAGTTCAGAGACCGCTGGGGTGGGGAGGACTGGGAACTCCTGGACAGGTGAGGCTGGGGGTCCCGGCAGCCCCATACCCCTGCCGGGGCAGGGCTGGCCACGCGGATTTGGGCGCATCCCCTGGGAAACCCTCCCTCCTCTCCATCGAGCTGGCTAAAGGCTGGGGCGATGCGGTGGAGAAGGGGCAAAGCCTCCCTTTAGGAGGCCTGCATCCGTCCCCTCCCTTCCCTGAGCGGCTGTCCCTCCGTCCGGCTGCAGGGTCCTTCAGAGCGGGCTGGAGGTGGAGCGCTTGCGTCTCAGGAACTTTTACCATTACTACCACTCCAAGCGCGGCATGTGGAACACCCGCAGCAAGAAGCTACCCAAGGACTAGCGCCCTGAGCCTGGCCTGCAGCCGCTGACCCCCCCTGCGCCCGCCGGAGGCAGGCCACTGCTGGTGCCCGGTTGTCCCCAGCCTCCGCTGACGCGTTTCGGTGCCGGCATGGAGGGCACCCGTAAAAGAACCGTGGTTATTTTGGGGAGGGGGGGAGCGGGGAGGGTGAAAGCAGGTGGTGATTTTTTTTCTTAGGGGTCTAATTTCTTAGTCAGAAATGAATTTATTAACTCATTAGCGCCAGGACAATAGGCGTCCTGCTGTCGGGAGGGGTAAAGCCTCCGGGCTGATCTCCGGAGCCGGTGAGTCCCTGGGGGCTGTGCCGGACCGGTGATGCCAGAGGTGGAAAAGCGGTACCCAGGCTCGCAGCCACCGCTCGCTCTGCAGCCCCTTTGCTGGGTCGTCCCCCCCAAAATGCCCAGCACCTTGTTCCTGTGCCAGGCTGGAGAGCTGAGCTTTCTGGGGGGGGGGGGGGGCGCTGGTATCCACAGGAGGCTGCAGGTGGTACGTGCCTGCTGGGGCTGCCCAGACCCTCCTGCTCCCATCCCCAGGACCTGTGGAGCCACCGTGGAGGGGAAAAGGGGTTTGACTCTGCCCTGCCACACAGGGACATGCCGCTGCAGCCGTACGGGGTGGGGGGCAGCACCCCTTGGCACAGTGGGCTGGCGTTGCCTGCGCCCAGGGGGCTGGGTTGGGATGGGAAAGGGCAGAGCTCAGAGCAGGGGGAGAGCAAATGATGTTTCCAAGCTAATTTCTGTGAAATTATGAGGTAGGAAGCTGTTTTCAGGAAGTTTTGTCTGTTTTGGGGTTTTTTTTATTCTTAAAAAATAAAATCAATGTCTTGGCTGGGATTTCCTTCTGCTCCATCACCCTCGTGCCTTGGCAGGGATGTGGTCCCCAGCCGGGTGTAGGGCACGAAAAGCCAGGTTGGCCTCTGTCCCTCGCCCCTCCCAAGTCCCCTCGCGGTGGCAGGTGGCCGTGCAGGCTGGGAGGATGCTTTTGCCCGCTCGAAATCACCACTGCCGTTTGTAACACCCATGAGGGCTCAGGAAGCCCTGCCCCGATGGCAGGCCCTGGAGGAGAGAGCAGCCTTGCCCTGTGCTTGCAGGGAGCTTGCTCGGCAGCGCGCCGTTGGAAGCGTTGGGCTGAGCCTGGCTAGTGCTTGGAGGAAAGGTCAGAAATCCCCAGGCAGGGCTCCCTGCGCTCCCCGTGGGACTGAGGAGGAGGATGGGTACGGGGCAAGCATCCCCCCTCTTCGGTAGGAGCGGGCAGCAGCAGTGTTGCGAGGGGCCCCTTTGCTGTTTCGTGCAGCGAGGAGGAGGAGGAGGCAGCAGCCGTGTTTTTGATGCCCGGACGCACGCCCGGGCTTGCAGGGAGGTTGCTGAGCCTCCGCCCCACACCTGGGCTCCACCCAGGCAGCTGCCTGCACCCCACATGCTGCGTGGGGGGCTCACCCCGATGCCCCCTCAGGGCTGGTGAGCTGTGGGGACAG